TAAATCCTGGTCACATATCATTTCGACTATTCGTATTTTTAAAAGTTTTCAGAGCTGTCATCTTTGTAAGGACAGGAGGGCTGTGGTCGTCTCCTGGCACACCTGTGCACACCTGTGGCCAGCAGTGAGCTGCGCCTCATGACCAGGGTTGTGGGGGCAGGGCTCTGGTTCGGCTCTGCCCCTAACTACTGCGTAACTCTAGCTAATCCCCAGACTCTTTTGCACCATCTGTAAAATCATGAAATCAACCCAAGCGCTGCGACTGTGGGAAGTAGGCCACATGTTCTGCAGAGGGCTGGGCATCCATGAGTTATTTTTTTAAACAACCAGATTTTTACATGCAGGTGGTTTTGGCATGCTCCTTGTTGATTTTCACAAAGGTTTGATAAAGGGGTCTCAGGAATTGAGGCAGGGAGGTCTGTCTTCAACTGCCAGTCAAAGCTGGCCACCTTGTACCCTGGGCAGGTCTCCTGGCTGTGTTGCTGACCCCGTAGGCAGGAAACGCTGAACTGGGGCTGAAGAAGCCAAGCACCAAATGGCATTAACCTAAGGCTCATTCTGAGAGAACCGAGACGGGGAGCAGCAGAGAGCGCGGCTGCTAGTGAGTGCTAAGCCGACTTCAGGCGAGGCCCAGACCTGGGTCCCCATCACGGGCAGCTGGAGTCAGCTGCTGGGCTGTGTTCAGGGCCAGGTACTAGCTCAGATGTATTTGCTGCCAGCTCACTGTTGCCATTGGGCATGGGCTTTGCAATCTGACAGTTTAGTTTATCCTTTTAAGCAGAGAAGCAGGGAATATATAACCACCTTTTTCGACTAAAACTGAAAACCACTTGCTCCTAGAACATATGACATAGAAACATGACACAGGTTTCTCCTCGATGCTACAGCTCCAGCCTCTGCTTGGCCTGCTCTGCCCGGGGTCTTCCCCATTTCAGATGATGGCAGCTCCGTCTTTCCAGTTACTCAGGCCAAAGACCCTGGGGCCATCCCACATTCAAGAGACCCTCTTGGCTCTACCTACACAATATCCAGAATCCAGTGTCTCCTCGTCCTCCACTGCTATCACCAGCTCCAAGCCCCTGCTGTCTCTTTGCTGGACCCTTTCAGCGGCCTCCTAACTGCTCTTCCTGCCCTGCCTATCCCTGAAGCAACAGCCAGAGTAACTACTACAACATTAAGTCAGGCCACACCACTCTTTTGCTCAACCCCCCCCTTTGCTTGCTGTCTCACTCACGGTAAAAGTGAAAATTTGCATGATGGTCTATGAGGCCCAGCAGGATCTGGCCCTGTGTTTGCTCTCTGAGTGCCCCTCCTACTCCTCTTGCTCATTCCTCTCCAGCCACACAGGGCTCTTTGTTCCCGAGCGAGCCAGGTGCGCTCCTGCCCCAGGGCCCTTGCTCCGGCTGTCCACGCTGCCAGTGTGTATTTCTACTTGTTTGGTTTATTTTTTCCCCTCTCTTAGAACATAAGCTTCTTGCAGGCAGGGATTTTTGCCCATTTTGCTTACTGTGGGATCCCCAGCAGCTAGATGATCACCTGGCCATAGTAGGTGCTCAGTGAGGACTGGGTCGTGGGAACACCAGCCTGAGCCCACAGAATATGCAGCAGGAGCACCCCCTGCACAGGCTGCTTGCTCAGATCGGCTTCTTGTCCCTATCAGAGGACGTTAAGGAATTGTCCCATGCCCGCTCTCATCTGGAATTTGATATATAGACTATGGCTAAAATCGTTGATGGGGGACGATGGCTGATGGGGAATGGGGGAATGGGGAACGTTTGGTCCATGGTACAAAGTTTCAGCCAGGAGGAATAAATCCTGGTGTTCTATTGTTCAGTTGCACAGCACGGTGACTATAGTTAATAATAATGTATTATATGTTCCAAAATAGCTAAAAGAAAGGATTTTAAATGTTCTCCACACAAAGAAATGATAAATATTTGAGGCAATGGATATGCTCATTAGCCTGAATTGATCATACCATAATGTATGCATGCATGGAAACATTGCATTATTCCCCATAAATATATACAATTAAAGATATTGTTTATTTGTATATATACAGATAAATATATTGTCAATTAAAAATAAAACAAAACAAACAGAAAGGCCAGAGCCCTGGGGGCTAGGTGTGTTGAGTTCCCCGGGGCTCTCGGACTTCATGAGCAGTCTGTGCTGGGAAGGGCCGACCGTGGCTGGGACAGCCCCCACGCCTGCTCCTTCTCCCAGCCTTTCGGGGCCCCGGGCCTTCCAGGAAATCCTCAGCCTGTGGTCCCCCAAGACCACTCCCTTTCCAACTCTTTTATGGAAGCCAGACCTCAACTTCCTTTTCCAACTCCAAACTTATTTATCCTTTCCCACTCTCCCTCTGGTCTCAGAGAAGAGGCATCCCACTCTTATCCCCTCTCCCTCCTGCTCCCGGGTCTTGCCTCAGCCGAGGCAATGCAGCGGCACTGTTGGGGAGGTGCTCCGATGTCACAGCCTTACTGGCGGGATGACTTAGGGCAGGCCACTCACCATCTGTAAGCCTCACCCTACTCATCTGTAAAATGAGGATGATGAGAGTGGAGTTGTGGGGATTAAAGGAGTAGTACAGGACAAATGTTTGGAATGAGGCTTGGGACAGTCAGTGAAAAGTTCTTATTTTGTTCAATGAACTTTTCCCTCATGGCTTTAGTCACAGATGGGAAGAAGAATCAGAAGTATTGAATATTGCCCCTGTTACCTTGGGGCTTTGAGTAGGGGCTTAATGTTCTCTTTTTCTTGAAAGTGGAGTTGTCAGGTTTCTGTCTGAAATGTCGGTTATTGACGCACTCATGGCCGAAGAATCACCAGATGCACCATAGTAAGGCAAGCACGAAAATGAGTTTTATTGAGGAGAGAAAGATAGGGTTGCAGAGCAAAAGCAAGATACAGGTTTACAGAGCATGGTACACACGCCACAGATGACGACCTGGCCCACTGTGGCAGTAAAGGGAGAGCAGAAGGAAGGGTGCAAAGGAGGTTGGTTAGGGTCTGCATCTTGTTTTATAGTGCCCGGATTGGGACCTCCCTCATGGTTCAGAGGTCACCACAGAATCACTCTGATTGGACAGTTGGGAGTTGCATTACTACGCATGTGGGTTGTTATAGGTCATTTCTGGACTCTGTGGTACCTATGATGGTTTGCCCATGGGCTGGAGTCCTCTGCATTCTTTTGCAGCTGGCATGCTAAGTTATGATTGGCAGCTTTGTAGGATATTCTCTCCTCCCCCAAGGATGGCAGTCTCTCAGGAGAGGATTAGGGTGGGGCAGGACCAAGATGGGGGCCTGGGGCCCACCCTGTCCTTCTTCCTAGGTGGGGCAGTTGGACCGAGGCAACAGCACCCACTTTCATCCCTAGGTAATCCCCGACTATCTACCTAACAGAGTCTTTGCAACGCGTTCTCCAGTCTTTTGTTGGGAGGTGTCCCCAAGATACCGGTGGGCGATGGTTTACGGTGTCTGCTCAGGTCCTTCCTGACTTTTAAACTAAGCTGACCCACTGGGGCCACCCACAACCTGGATGCTTCAGCCCTGCCCACAGCAAAAATTATTCTGGTCCTTTTCTCCTCCCTCAAAACCTGCTCTTGGCTTCTGACTCAGTTCTGCATCTTCCTTGTCTTCCTGCTTTGTTTCCTGTTTCTGCCGCTGTGCTTGTCCCTTTGAGGACAAATTCTGGCTTTTCTAGCTTTGACCGTCGGCATCCAAAAAATACGTATTCCCTCATTTTCCGGCTCTTTCTGTTCATGGATACTCTGATGCCCTCGCCCACTGAGCCACTACCTACAGGACCTCCTGCCAGTGTTGGGTGACTGGCCAGCTCGGCTTGTCCCCGTTCCCTCAGGGACAAGTGCACAGTGGTACACGCTAATACGAATGATGTTGATTTATGTTTGTTCCCCACTTGCTGTTGTCTTGAATGGTTTAAATAAATTGTGGCACGTTATTTTAACTGCAAATCCGTGAATTTTTACCTTCATTTTGGAGGTGAGGAAAGTAAGGCTCAGCAAGGTTAAACTCAAACACATGTGGTTGAAGGGGATCAGAATGTGTCCCCCAAAACATGCCATTTGGTATAAGGATTATTTTGCATTGAAGGTAATTGAGCATCAACCAAGGCAGGAAGAGCTCTCTGCCCTCCCCTTACCTGTCAGAAGCAGGAATTCCCCTTTGCCCGCCCCCTGCTCCCCCATAGGAAGAGGAGAGCCACTCTTACCACCTGAGATGAGGAGTCGACCTTGAGACAAATTTGCATAAACAGACCTTATTAAGATAACCTTTATCTCCCATTAGTTCCCCATATATTTCCTAGTCACTTTCCCATGATTTATCATCCCCTGAAGCCCAAACCCCCTTTCCTTTGTTAAGGTGGTGTACAAGCCCTGAGTCTAACTGGTTCTTTGAGTTCCACTTCTTTTCTGTGCATGCAAAAATCGTATGCCCTTTTTCCTGTTAATCTTGTTTTAGCTTAATTCACAGGCCCCCAGGCACCGAGCCTAAGAGGGTAGAGGGAAAGGTTTTCCTCCCCAACACAGTAAATGTAATTCAGTTCTCGGGCCCCAGAACACTTTCTCCTCTTTCAGTGGCACCTGTCACCTCTTCCTTTTCCCCTTCCATTGCCTTAACTCAGAGCCTCATCAGATCATTCAACCAATCTAGAAACTTCTGGGGCTCAGTGCCCTGCCTTCAGGCACTCTTCCCTTGATCCACCCGGCCCTGCTGCCAGGGAGAGCGTTCTGTGGGGCAGGTCTGTGCCTGCCGAGCTCCTGTGGGAAGCCCTTCAGCAGAGACGGGGCCTCAGCCTCGCTTCTCCTCGCTGCCCATTCCTGCCCCTGCTTCCCAGACTGCTGTCTCACAACATGCCGGGCTCCTGTGGCTCATGCTTTCTTCCCTGCCCAGATTTTCTTCCCTCGAACTTGGCCGTCGGCACCAGATGATCGGCTGACTCACCTCTCTAGGCTCCTCTTGAACAGCACCTCCTCTGTTAGGTCACCTCCCGGGATTTAGTCACCTCCCAGGTTTAGGACTCTTTCGACATTGCATTTTGATGATCTTGTTTACAAGCTGTCTCCCCTCCACCCCAGTCAGTGCGTTCTCTGAAGACAAGGACTGCAGTATGCCCATCTTCTGTCCCTGACACCCAGCCCAGAAGGTGGCAAGTGGCCGGGTAAACATTTAATGGGTGAGAGACTGTCTTACTCTAAGTGATAAAACAAAAGGCTCTTTTATATCTCAATGATGCTTAACTTATTTTCTGTGAGGATTATAATATTTTAGAATTTTAAATCTTAAAATTATCTACTCTAATCCTATCATTTTTATAGACCGGGAAACGATGGTCTAGAATGGTGACATAACTCCGGCCTCCAGCTCCTGTGGTCTAGAGTCCTGTGGTCAAGGTGGCTGTGGCACCCAACACTGGGTGGAAAGACATCCTTGTAGTGGCTCCTAGTGTGGCACAGTTGTGTATGTGTACTGAAGGAAACAGCATGGTACTTCCATTAGCTTCCCAGGCACTGCCGACATTGCTGAATTAGAGCAGTTCTAGAGCACTTATTTGTATGTGGGGAGATCATAAATGGCACTCTAAAATTATTGGTGTAGCCTATTATAAATGATGAGAAAAAAAACAACAACCCTCAATGTTGTATTTTACTTCCAGAAAAGACCTAGTACTTAACTATCAGAGAATGCCAGAAATGGGAAAAATGGTCACTTTAATGTCACTATAAAAATATTTCTTTTCATGTTGCATCCTTGTTGATGACTCACACAATTACAATTTTATTTTGAGGAAACAAGACCTTTGCTATGAAATAATTTAAGTTGCTCTCTGGCACCTTAAATGTCAAACCAGGGCAGAATCTCACCTGGCCAAGGCAGTAGAGTTATGGTTGTCACATAAAGGCATTTATTGTTTTGTTTGCTAAGCACTCTCTTCCTTTTGAGACTGCGTTTTGGGAAACCACTGGGCTAATATATGATGCAAAAGGGAGTTGTACTTTTAAAATTTGACCTTGTCTCTCTAGCATTGTGTTTGTCGCTGGGTGGGAAGTTGGCAGAAGCCAGTCCATATTCCCTGGCGACGTGGAGTGGTTTGAGAAAGGGCATGTGTCCAAAACGAGACCAAGCAGAGTCTTGCCTTGGCATTTTTGTAAAAATAGAAGCTGGCAGGAGGCAAGAAAACTTTCTTTACTTTCTTTCTGTAATGCTGAGAGTGAAGCCAGCCAGCAGAGAGAAGCAGGAGAAGGGATGGGGGAGGGAGGAAAGAGAGAGATCTCTGACAGGGGTAGGTTCCAGTTGTTCGTGAGGCTCCTTTTTTCCTAGAATCTGGCATCAGCCGGTGATCTTTAGTTGTATTTTTCACTTGTTGGGTTTTGAAGCTTTGCAGCTAACCATCGCTAAAGTTCTAACACATGCAGATTTTGTTTTGCTTCGTTAGCCAAACAAGTTAAGCAAATGTGCCTTTTCTCTCCTAGAATGCGGATCTCATTGTCTGTGTGAGGCAAATATTTCTAAGCACACTATACTATTTTTTCCTAACTTCTCTCCTACTTTGACATTTATTCCATATTATTTATGTAATAGCAAATTAGAAAAAAATGAAGTTTGGGAAATGTGTCTAGCAACCTGGCTAGACTTGTCCAGCTGCCAGGCAGTCCTGTTTGCGAGGTAGATCTTAATCTGGAAAATTTCTTAGAAACTAACCAGTTTGATACAAAAGTATTTGGTGAAATGTTTTTGGTATAGAGTAGAACTGGCTCTCTGAAGAAGCAGCCTATGTATAGCAGTAATTCCTTCCAAAAAAAATTGTATTTTTGTCTTGAGCACATGATAAAAGCAACAGCAGAACACTGAATGGATACATTCATCAAATGAAATATATTTTGGGTTAAACTCTGGAAATTTGAAGGCAGGACAACTAAATGGATTTCACTCAGCATAGTGAGGGCAAAGGGGGAGGCTTAAAAATAAAATCTCCATGGCTTTAGTTTCTCTGGGATTTTTCTGCAGGAGAGGGTCGAGGCCTGGCGCATGGGTAAAAGAAAACGAAGAGGGAAGAAGTGTTATAACACCGCCACCATGTGCATGGACACCTGAGAATGACCAGGACAAGGAAAACCACTATTTTTCAAACACTGTCTACCTGCCATCGAATTTATTCTTGCCTGAAGTGTTCCTTTCACAGACAAAAAGAAAAATAGCAGAAAATGAGAAAATTTATATTGAGTTCGCCAGAGGCAAGAGCAAATCAACAGTTAAATCCTCTAACTCTGATATTCAAAACTTTATTCTGAATCAATTGGGGTTTACAAGGTTTACACAAATTTAAAGGTGAACAGAATAGAGACCTGCCTCTGGATTTAGACTCCCCTGTCTGCCACCCTTCCCTTCCCGGAACCCGGCAGGTGCATGACGGACAGCTGGCGGGAGGTGTGGATGCAGTCAAGGGAACCACTGGGCTCATGACTCATGATTTAAGTTTGTTTTAATTGTTTTGGCAAAGTCAACATGTTGTTCTTGTGTAAAGACAGAAATAACAAGGATATTTGGGTGGATGTTTCTGAGTTTTTGAAGGAGCTAGGCCTTAAATAAATAGAATGGAGATTGGGAAGCAGGATGACATCCATTGCTTAATGAAAGGTTTTAATGAAAACTAGAGTCCTCCAGGAAAAGAAATTCAACCCCTTGGGAAGCAGTCTTATAATTCAGAGGAAATGGTAGCCTTTCTGATAACGGTTGTGAGACAGGACTCAGACACGCAGCAGGCAGCTGGGGCAGGGGTCAGAGGGAGAAGGCCAACAGGATAAGAAAGTCACAAGAATGTGAACGTGCTTAGCTAAGATAAATGTTACCAATAGAGACCCCTTAGTTATTTCACTTTAGCCATAACATCTTTATCTAAGGCAAAAGGGGGAATTTTCTTCATTGTGGCATGCGCGCAATTGAGGCAACAGTGTCCCTAAATGAACTACCCTCATTGACCTGGTAAAAATCATGCCCACCAGGGCCATGATGGTTTACAGATGCCCTGGCAACTCCCAGAAGTTACCCGATAAGGTCAGGAAAGGGGAGGGTTCCTGGTTCTGGGAATTCTCCATGCCTTTCCCAGAAAATCTATGAATATTCTGCCCCTAGTTTAGCACATTATTGGGGATTAGCATAAAAGGACAGACTCTAACCCTGGGGTGACACTGTTTTCCTCCTTGGATCAGCCCATTCTTTTGCATTTCTAAAAGATTGTACTCTAATTTCAATAAGTCTATCTGCTTCTGCTTGTACTTTGTGTTTGAGTTCCTCTCTCGCTTGTGACCCTGTGCTTGAATTTCTTCCTACAGGGAGGTCAAGAACTCTCTCTGCTGGTGTGGGCGGTGGTCTGTGCTGGTCTCAGTTGCATTTGTGAATATTGAACATACTTTGTAGCTGGAAATTGTGTTGTGACTAGAAGCCTGTCATTTTCTTGATAACAATTTCTATTTGTGTATGTATCTGTTCATGGTGACACCCAACTTACCGATATTTCTCAACTATCTGCAACTTGGCTGACAATGAGAGAGTGAGGAAAACATGGCCAAACGAGATGCCCCCTGAGTCCATTAACTAAAATCTTTGCACTTTATCTGTAGATGTTCTTGTGGTCTTCTAGTGTTTTCTCTCTTGGGTAAAGCCTCCACTGCCCATCTATTTGCATGAACCGGACCCCTAGGAGCTCTCCCAGGCACCTTCCTCGTCTTTTCCGGGCACACCCATCTATATCCAGGTCCTGCCACCTTGACCTTCTAAAGAGCTCTCAAACCATCCACTCCATTCCACCAGCAGGGGTTCTTAACTTATTTTTTGCAGTGAAACCCTTTTGTAGTCTGATGGAGCCTACGGACCCCTTTCCAGTTTAAGATTTTAAAATGTATTAGATCAAACACATAGGATTCCAAAAGAAACCAATTATGTTAAAATGCAGTTGTAAAAATATAAATTTGAGTTATAATAATTATGTTTCTTTATTAATGCATCCTGTGATATGATATAGTGGCAGGCCTAACAACTATCGTATTGATAATTTTCAAGTAGTGATGAGTATAAACGGTATCTTGATATATTTGCAGCGACTGTAATGGGATCTGAAATCACCTGTGATTTCTCTTGGTAGCAAGGTCACAGCTGCTGATAATACTGTTGTCTTTTGCTGTCTATGTTCATAATGGAAGGAAATACTAAATTTCAGTTAGAGGTGTGTGAAAATAAAGATGTGCTCGTTTTCTCACATAAGTTCACAGAATTCTGTGGTGCCTAGATTGAGGACTATTGCCTTTGGCCAGGCCACCATTTTTCACTGGATTTACTGCCACGGACTCCTATTGGATGGATGTGCTTGCTCATGTCCCAAACCTCCTCCACTCTGCAGCCAAGGTGGCGTTTTGAAAATGCAGATTTGTTGTCACCTGCCCCCACTCCCCTCCCTACCACACACACAGCCCAACTGCTTTCCATTGCTCTCAGAATAGAGACCAGAACACCTGGGTCTCAGTGCCCAGGGGCCTCTTCCCATGTTGTGGCTTCTCCAGGTTCCCTTCTACCAAAGGGCTTTTGCGTTAGTGTTTCCCTCTGCTGGGATCCTCTCCGTGCCCTGCTCGCTAGCGCTGTCTTCACATCAGCCCAACTGCCACGTCCTTAAGGAAGGCTTCCCTGACTTCCCCGGTGAGTTCTGGGTTCTCTATAGCACCATATCCCTTCTGTTCCTCAGAGGTGATACTGCTATTTTGTTTTTTGGTTTTTTTTTTTGAGACAGAGTCTCACTCTGTTGCCTGGGCTAGAGTGCCGTGGTAGCAGCCTGGCTCACAGCAACCTCAAACTCCTGGACTCAAGCAATCCTCCTGCCTCAGCCTCCCGAGTAGCTGGGACTAGAGGCATGTGCCACCATGCCCGGCTAGTTTTTCAATTTTTAGTAGAGATGGGGTCTTGCTCTTGCTCAGACTGGTCTTGAACTCCTGACCTCAAGTAATCCTCCTTCTTCAGGCTCCCAGAGTGCTAGGATTACGGGTGTGAACCACTGTACCTGGCCTGGTGATACATTTACTTATGTGATTCTTTGATTGATGTCTATCTACCCATTCGCTGTGGGTTTCATGAGAATGGGTTCCATGCTATCCCTAGGACAGTGCCTGGCATATATTAATAGTATAG